ACGTTCTTCAAGGTTCCTTCCGCGTTGGGAAGGAACGCTTGACGAACTGTAAGTAAGGGTTATAAATCACATAACCACGAGCTGAAGGCCGATAAACGGCTTAGTTTTACATTGGCGAGGATTCCTCAAGGGATGCAAAAATACTTTGACGAAAAATGCCTCTATTGTTCATCTGTCTTTTGTTTCTTAACACTCCATGCTGGCACTGGTGGCATTCACAGGTTTCTCGGCGTTTTAATCATGTTAGTTTTTCAAAGTCGCCATAGTTAATTGAGTGGAATGGTTATGAAACCCGTCAGACTCCTTTGTTATATGTTTTTGTGGACCTGAAAGTGCACAACGTTGAAAAGAATTCCTATCATTTTGATTGTATTGACCAATAAAAACGTTGCATTAATTTATTCCGTAACAATTTGCCAACAGAAAACAAAGGATTGTGCACTTTCACGGTGCTTTGAACATAAACTGCAGCACTGTTGTTTTTATCATTGATGTTTGCCGCTTTTCATAACCAGTCTCCTCTAATAACTATGAAGTCGCATTTCAAATTAGTTGTTCGCAGTGAATGCTAGAAACAGCCTAAAGAGCCTAGCAGTTTCGAGCGATTCAAAGCCAGAAGTAGAGCCGTTTATTACTCAAACTAAAGCAGCTTCAGTGGCGGTACAGCAAGAGCTTTCGGAAAACAATTGGAATCTTCATTTGCGGGTGCAGAAATCGAGCAAGCAGTTGACCATTTCAATTTTCGCACCGAGGATCTTTCGACCGACTCGCATGTTTACAGACAAAGAAGATTCCGGGCGAGGGATCACTACTGTAACAGACAAGGAAATTCAGTCGAGGAATGAAGCAAGAATACCACAAAACACAAAGAGGTCAACTACACGTCTTCATGGAGTACATGAGTTTGGGATGACTGGTTAAAGAACGGAACACCTTACCATCACAGCGACACTTTCGTGGAACCGTAGAATTTTAAAGACGCTGTTCAATTTCGAACTGTCGTTCTGGCTGTGGAAATCGATGAACCAACAACTAAGAAAATTCGTGAATGTGGCGCAAAAGAAACGCAGCTCAGTTTAATTTTAGTAATTATAGCGCCGTGTTTAATATTTCTAATAAACATTTGTGAACTTTTTCTTTTGAAAAGCTAATTGCTGGTTTTCAGTGCCACGCCATTCAAAATAGATCAAAATAAAAATCAAAACCACTCGACAGATAAAGTCCAGAATCTGAGAAGTGAAAGGAGGTAAGTATACAAAAACCCTCGCCAAGATTTGGGTCGAAGGAATAATTCGTATACGAGATATCCGAGTAAATGTTTTATCCAAATTTATAGAGCTTTGTATGGAGACGCCATGCTGGAGCTCATCCGGATGAGCTCCAACATGGCGGACGGAAACCCACAGAAATATCTGTTACCGAGTTTTGCTACAAATGCGTGAATTTACTCCTAGAGGAACTCATTAACATTAAAGTAACACTTTTTCTAATACTTGAACCGTTTAGATAGCAAAATTCCTCGCAAAAATTCACTTTTTTAACCTAAATGACAGCTCTCTTGGCCGTCGTGTAAATGCTTCGTCACGCAAAAGCTTAGAAATCCAGGCGTACTCTATTACAAAACCAAGGACCTTTTTGAAACGAAAATTTGTTTGAAAATTAGTTTTCAGCTGCTCTAATACACCATGAAAGTAAAATCTCAGTAGGATCGATAGTTTTGTAGTTTGAATTTTAGTGACGTCATGAGAAAACCAACACAACTGTAAGTCACTTGTCCCCCTCGCATAGTAATACATAATCTCCTCGCATTTTAAATTAGCTGTTCATTAGCCCCACTCCTCCCTTCAAACAATCAAAGCCGCATCCAGCTTTTCGGACAGTTGATTCGGGGGTTATGTAATATATCCCCCCCCCCCCAAAAGAACAGAGGAATCCGAGCTTTTGTAAAAATAAGAACGTCTGCGTGGGAACAGGCCGAGTGCAGCTGGAGCGGGTTATTTTCTACAGTTATTCTATTCGCGTAAAAGCCGCCGCATGACGATTCAATCGCGTCTATAGAACAAATCTCAACGTACATCGGCTGGAAATCTACTCAGACCGCTAAGTATTATACTCAAACAGACAAGTTCCTTAGTCTCACCAAAGTGGCTGACATGCTTGCCCAAAGGACCTCAGCCGTCGACAAGGACACGGCTCCCAAGGTCACAATCATTGCGGAAACCTTCCGTTTTTATGACAAGATTTGGCTACACTAAAACTTAATAAAGTTTTCTGGCAATTATTCGCCGTCTTTTGGTTGAGTCTATAGCACCCCTTGTGTCGGGGAAAATTATTTCATCCATAACTTATCCATCAAGAGGCACAGGGTGGCTTTTATGCGAATGTGAATTAGTTGCGATTCATTATCAATTATTATTTAATAGTATCAAAGAACTCAGTTTCGAATTACCAAAATTGATACATGGCTCCGAGCAAGCAAACAAAAGTAACGAATTCATGTTCGCATAAAAGGCACCCTATGCCTCTTGGTGGATAAGTTACGGGTGAAAAATTTTGTAAAAGGTGCAGGGTGAGCTTACACAGGAAATTTGCCAGAGCCGCCGAAGGGATGGAGAGTGGGAAAACTTGTTTTCCCCTTGTGGAGTAGACTTGCGAGAAGAGAGCGAATTCGTTTGCAAGGGTGTATAAAAGGCCTAGAGAATTTCCCTGGGGACCAAATAGGGCCAATAGAGTGTTTTCACTCACGTGGCCAGCCTCTATGCAAATTTATTGGGACAAAAGAAAGCGTTTGCATAAGAAAAGAGTTCAACTGCCAAAGGAATTGGTTTGGGACACCAACATGGCCACCGTTTCATTGTTTTGGGACACCAATATGGCCGCTGTAACGTCATGTGAAAAGTGGCTTACGAGGGAGCACGCAGTCATCTAGTTGATTAAATCGTCATGCGACGGCTTTTACGCGAATGACAAAAGAAATCGAATCGGGATTCAATGATTAATAACTCATTTCTAATGTTTTATTCCCCTCAGCCTCCACCTGCAAGCCAAGTATGAATTTTGATAATTCAAACAAAGCTGATCTTATAACCCAATATTATAACCCACGTTCAATATATTAAAATTCTAACATGAATCCGAGGCCTTCTGGTCAACACTTTTCTATATGCTGTTTGCTTTTGTTTAGACTGCCAGCAGTCTCTCTTTGTCTTCAGATTTCGTTAGGGGAATGCAGGCGCGCGAGAGCGTTGAGCGGTGACGCGCGTGGTCATTTGCGTGTCTCGGACGTTTTGCTCGACGGACCAAGAAAAAAGAGAGACTGCTCGTAGTCTAGCTTTTGTTTTTGCTCAAGTCTCTTCTGGGAATTGCGAGGCAATGGAGTCCTGAAAAATTTTCAATTTTGGCCGTAATGCTTCGGACTCATGTTAGAATTTTGATTTATCGAACGTGGGCTACTGTGAAAAGAAAAACTTATTTTTAATTAAATTTTAAAAAGTAAGTATTTTAAAATAATAAATAAAACTAAACTAAAAGCTTTTTAGACTCTGAAAACAATAAGAAAGTTGTAAGTTTTTTCAGTCATTAAATTGACCAGAATACACCCCCAGTTTTAGCTTGTCGGTTGTTTTTTCGTATATTTAAATAAAAACGTTCTCTAGGAAATACAAAAAAAGCAAAACAGTTCTTCAACAGCAAAACAAAACATAGAAGCTCAAAAGGTCTACCCGTGCAAACGGTCGACGCAACGTTGTTAGCCAACAACTCCCAACATTGTTTGATGTTGCATGTTGCGTCTATTTGCACGGCACCCTGTTGCATTTTGTGGCATGTTGTTGCTTGATGTTTGGAGTTGTTGCCAAAGTTTAATTTTGTCGAGGTGCAAACGGACACAACATGCCTCCCAACATTGTTGGCCCAACAATGTTAGGAGGCCAACAATGCTGGGAGTTGTTGCATCCGTTTGCACGTGGCTGCAAAACAAAAGCTTTGATTAGGCTATCCCAACTCTTAAAGGCTGTTTTTTTAATGAAAGCTCGCGGAAGTTGTTACAGCAGGTAAAGCCGATCTCTTTATAACCTGAATTTACCGAGGAGCAGACATACGAAGACGGGAACTTAACATTGATGAGGAAAATTAGTCTGGGTTCTCCGAGGATAGGTCGTCGCGTAACGCTCCTCCCCACTAACGGCCGCTAGTGGGGAGGAGCGTTGTGTGACGACCCTAATAGAGACTACCGATAGTCTTGGAGGGTGTGTTATCCGCCTCGGACCTGACGGTCTCGGTGGCATTAGACCCCCTTTTCCGAGGTGCATAATTCTTCAGATACCGGACATCTTGCTAATGAGGACAGCTGCTAACTCCCCAGCGAAAATTACAGACATTTGACTGAGACAAACTCCAGCTCATACGGACTTAACGGACACATCTCTCGGTTCCGACGGCATAATTGTATTGTCTGTTCTTATTCTCGTTAGAACGGGCATCTTTCAATTTTTTGGCAGAATTATATCAAATTATCATTTATTTCTTCCTCTTTTTCTCTTCGTCTTTGTCAGTTTAGTTAACATTCCGATTCGCGTTTATCATAATCCTTCTAAGAAACTACCGTACTTGCAAAAAAACAATCATGATGTACGTAATGTACATAAACTGGATTTTCTTATACCGAACTGTAGTGGTTTTTGTGTTCTAAAAATTGTTCAGTGACTGTTATGGTGAACAAAAGGGAGATGCAAGTTCTATTCTGTTACTATTAGAATGCTGACGAAATTTTTGATGAATTCTTACTCGGATTACTCGTGTGTACTTTTGGAAAACCTCCTCGACCTTCATTTGTTTTATTATGTTTTTTTAAACTATTCTGGTAACAAAATAAGCTTGACCAATTTTCAAGTAGGTTTTTCGAACCGAGTGAATTAGTTAACGCTATTAGATTAAGAACCTGTTCCAGCTCGCTTCATTAGTTCCAGAAATTTCTCGTCGACTGTGTATACCTTCGATTCTCAAACTGTAATCGGCGGACATGTTATACCAAATTCGCTGGCAAGCGCATCGGCAGTTTCTAAACTGCTCCATTCTAGCTTACGGCCTTGTTTTATCTCAAGTCCGACTTGGTTATAATGTCGCTCTAGAACTTGCAAACAGGTATTGGTAAGGTCACCTTTACATGGGTGCTTATCAAGACCTCCCTGAAGATCGTGGACGAAAAAGGGTAAATTATCGCTTGCCGACACGGAATGATTAGAACATATATCCAAATTATTTCCTGCTGCTTTGTGTGATAAGCAATAACTGGTAAGGACATTTTCGTTGAGAGCCAACCCAGCGTTACCATGATAACCTGTTTGAGGCTCGGAAAGAACAGTTTCTATATCTTCGGGCCTAATGGTGTGGCCACTTGGAAATCTTTTATTATATTCTGTTAGGTCAGCGCACATTTCAAAATTCCAGTCGTAGCGATCTCTCTCAAAGTACCATGCATAAGAGAGGATGATGCTGACTGGAGAGATGAAAGTCGTGTAAAACTTTCTGAAGGCCTCCTCAAAGTTATTTGTATTTAAATGTTTTAGGATATGCTCTCTGCAGTGAGTGACCGTGTCTCGGTACATATATACCGGAAAATACGTCATAAAATCAGCGACAAATGGTAATCCTAGCGCCTGTTTAGTAGTATCTGCCCATTTATGTACCCAACTCCTGTAGAATGTGCAGGCGGAGCCTAAGGCTCGTACCTTTGTCCCATTAAAAATTGTGGACTTAGTTACTGGGGTAAAAAAAGCTGAGTCACTGTCCATCCAAGCAATAACGGTGTCATTTGAAAGTAGGTCGATGAAAAAACTGCTCCAAAGCTGTCTGTTATAACCGGGTTTCTTAGGCGAGCCTTGAAACTCCAGAGTTCCTTTGTCCTTTGGAAGGGCCTCATAAAAGAATTCAAGTCTACGATCAGGAAAGTATTTTTGGACAAGTGTTTTTAATTTTTCGGCAAATTCATGATCCTCTTGTGATTCTTCATCAAGTCCTACGACTAAATTTCCAAAGGAAGGAGGCCAGAAGAGAACGGAAGTCCTGAAAACGTTACACAAATAACGTTGCCTGTGATCTGGTCGTTTGCCAGACATCCTCACGAACACACTTACTGAGGTATCTGGGGTGTGCTTTGTTGTCCCTAAGATCTCTTTGTTTGTCACAGGTCTTGCAGTGCTGTGGTTGCTAACTGAGACTTGGGAGGTTTTGTAGAACCAAGGTAGCGAAGTTCCCCTTCCCGGGATCACATGTGATATGAGTATCACCATGGCGGAGAGGGCTAAAATAAGGCAGATGAGAACACCTGTTCTAATTCTTCGTAAAACCATTGTCTAGTCAGTTGTATAGCTTTCTTCAAATGGACTACTGCTACAAAAGAGAAGAGGAAAATGTTAATTAAATTTAATTTTTGGCATCTCATAAATGGTGCCATGTAGTGTAATGCAAGACAGTCTTGACAGTCTAGATTCCACGCTGTGGGTTACGGATTCTAGGGACTAGATTCCGTTTTTCTTATCAGTAGATCTTGCAGGGGTACCCAACGTCATTTTTCGGAAAATACCTGTTTGGAAGACGATTTGAGATCTAGAATTATTGGAACATTTTTTGTAAAATTTCTTGCTTGTTTGCCTCTCCTAGGATTTTGCAACATCTAAAAATTGGTATACCTTATTATAGGAAATTAACGCTCCATAAAAGGTATTGGAAATTAACGCGACTTAAATTAACGCGAATTTAATGGAAAACGACTTTCGAATAAAGAAAATTAACATGAAAGAGGAGGTAGAATTTTATAATAAAGCAAATTAACGCGATTAAGACACGGTGGTGACAAGTAGAACAAATTTATTTCAACACTGGATGCAAAAAAATTCAAAACTGAACAAAACTGAGCAGACATCACTTCTGACAGTGACAACGATGAAGATGAACCGAAATATTGTAAACGTTCGCCCTAGCTCTTGTGAAAGATGAAAAATATAGGGTAAATGGAAAGAAAGAAAGCTTGTAGTTAATTACGTTTTTTAGGTGTCAAGAATGTCTGGACAGGTTCCAAAATTAGGGTTAAAATAGTGGAAATTAAGAGCGCGGAAATTAACGCTGCACTTAATTAACGTCGCGGAAATTATCGCTCAACAAAATTAACGCGATAAAATTAACGCGAATCATGGAGCGTTAATTTCCTATAATAGGGTAATTGCCCATCTTAAACGGATTTTTACCGTAAAAAGGTCACCTAGAATTTTCGGGAGCCGACCGTTTGTCTAGCTGAAATTTTCGAAAAGGTAAGTTTTAATCCCTATAATTTTCGGATCACTAACTAGCCTTTCAGCTAGGAAATCTGAACAGATGAAAAATTTTTAGGAGATAAAAATATGCCCAGATATCTACCGTCTAGATACTAAAATACGTTTAATAATGCTATGTTGAAGTTGTTTTGAACTATATTCTCCTTGGGTGCCCTTTATCTTGGAGTCGGGATTCCTTAAGCACTGATTCGGGATTCCAAAGCTCTGGATTCCTGACTCCACAAGCGGAGGAGGAGGAGACTTTTGACGCAGTATTTCGGTTGCCCTTGATATTACTCTCCCAGACGTTCTTTTAGAATACTACTGACCGAGGCAGAATTGATAAGTAAGTTTGACTGCTTTGGTCAAAGCTGGCGAACGCTTGAACGATATTGACGAACATTAAGGCTCAGAATTACCTGTCTGAGATAACCAAGAAACCGATGTCTTGCAACGTTGAAGATTTCAAGGTTATTGCACGTAGAGTATACGAAAAAAGAGACGCCTTCACACTGATATGAAAAATGTAAGTATAACTACAATGTATACCGACGATTTCCAAAGACAGCGTACGTTGTTATTCACTGAACTCTATTATCTCTTGCCACGATACCTGCACTTACAAAAACTTGAGTTGTACGTTACGCCTTGTGAGTGGCTGGTAGTGAGGACGAAACAACAGAATTGCGTTGGAGGGACATGAGGAGGAAAAACAATAGAAATGTGTTGGTGGTACGAGTTAAACAATGGTCTTGTTGGGTTGATGGCGATTGAGGTAAAACAATTGAAACTAGACGCCGAAAGGCGTTCTCAGGGCTGCCCTTGACGTAGACTGATATGTTGTAAACGCATTTTTTTCAACCCATACCGATAAACGGGCCTCATTCAACTGATTGCACTGTGTCTATTGCAACCTTGTCAATTTTAAAGACCACCCGCATTTTGAATTCATCGGCTCGTTCTCTAACCAATCAAAGAATATAGATTAAAAGGTCAATAACAGTTGTGTTGTCCCAGCATTTTCGGCCTGGACAAGTACCAGCTAAGTACCAGCCAATTTGTTGCTCATAACTAAAATGCGCGGGAAACCCGCTTAATTTATGCTAAACATGTTCACGCAAGTACCAGTAATGACCTCACCACACCATAAGCATAGCTCATTAATAAAATGCGCAGGAAACGTCTTAATTCATGTGGGCATGCTAAAATGTCAACTTGGCAAAGCAAAACAAAAGGATCACGAAGTATGTTCAGGCAATTACTAGTGTAAATTGAATGTTTTTATTAAAGTTCTTGACTAGTAAGTTGCAATGGCTATACGACTAAATTAAAATGTAGTCATTGCATCTGTATATTACCTTTAATATATGGGGGTACAGATTACATATTACCTCCTGAGTCGATTGTAATGTGTATCGTGCTGTATATTTTGCTTGGTTTAGAAAACAAGAGAAGTTCTCTCAAACATCAGCTGGTTTGTAAAATGCGTAAGGCAAATAGGAAATGAAAAAAAATTAACTTTCACAACAAACACAAAGTTTACAAAGAAATTAATTTCAGAGTTATTTAATAAAGGGGTCATCTAAAAGAGTCTTCTTCTGCAATGAAAATTATGGCAGCTAACAATCTGGATGGGAGTGGGGAGTGAGGTCTCTTTGAACTTGGAAATACTGAGGAGAGGGGGGGCTCATCAACAAGGTTTGGAAATCAGGGTGGAGGAGGAGGAGGAGGAGCTAGTGCCGGTTCAACTTCAAGTCTTTAAATGAATTAAAGAAAAGGTTAATAAAAAAAAAACAGTTGTTGCGCGGTAATTCTTAGTAACGAGAAAATTTGGTCCTTAGTTAGTGTTTTGCAAATAAGTTTTCAATCAAGGTTTTATAACACCTCTGAGACCTCCTTAAAACTATCTTCGCAGACTGTCTTCAGGATACGAACGTAAGTGTATTAGAAACCAAATTCTCTTACTGGAAAGGTGTTTGCAGCTGCGATATCTAAATAATAAGTAATTTTGGTTACGAGCTTCGTTTGTTCAAGTGGTACGTTCGTTCACACTTCTACTTCGAAGTTCGCATAATAATCATTTTTCTCCAACTCATTAAAACTTAGGTTGAGCTACGCGCCTTGACACCTTTAATTTTTCTGTTCCAAGTTGAACCAGTTTTAAGCGAATTTTACTCACTTTACTAACTTAAAACTAAAATCTGTTTCGATAAATCCCGGAAAAATTTCACCTTTCTGACTAGCGATTTCAATGCAAAATTTTCACAGTAGTAGCTGGAAATAGTTCATTTACGGTTTCTTTGATTCTATATAAACACTCCTTATAAACACTCCTAAACACCTGTTTTTCGCACATGAATGCTACCGCTCTTGCTTAAACTTAATTAAATTGGTCTTTTCAGCATAAATGGAAGCACTCTGTAAGCTAGGATATATTCAGTTTTAGTTTTGGTCAAGCTCGTCACTGTTACACAGAAGAAGATTAGACCAAGTTAAACTGTTAAGTCCTGTTGGTCTATTCCTACAAAATCTGTACCCCCACACTTACACAGGAAAATGCGAGTGAAGAAAATTAAAAAAAAACGACAATAATAATAGAAAATCTGGATTTAACTGCTAGCGACATACCAACAACGTGCCACGCATTCAAACTACAATATACAGATTACTAGCGTAAGTCACTTTTAATTATTATGTAGCTGAGCGGGCAAGATAATCCAATCTGGTTTGCTCAGGATTTTCCGAGTTGGCCCCACAAAAAAAGTTCTCTTTTCGGCCATTATAATAAATCCTTTATTGACCAGCAAGCTTGTTCGCTCAAGATGGTTAGATTTCTTTCCTCGTTCATTGTTGCATTTTTATTAACCTGATCAACTTGGCCAATGTTCAGCCATCTTACATATAATGCACACTCACTTGGGAATAAAGTCATATGAAGAGAACAAATGAGGAAAATTAGCATAACGCGCTTATACAAGGAGCTGCTGAAGAATAGGTCTAGTGTACGTGAAAGGTCTGTGTTTTGTAAACCAACAAGGCTGCACTACCACGCAATTGCAACTAAGAATCTAGTGAAGACACAGCCTTTAAAGAGAAATGAGCGAGACATTCGGCAGAAAAAGGTAATGAAACACCAATAAAATATCTAAATTGTTTCTCGCTGTTGCGGACCGTTGCTATCGCCAAATGGCTTATAACAAAAGATTGAGAAGACACTGAACAATACCTGCGGCACAACACACAAGCCAACCAACAATGGTTTCCGCTGCAACACCAAGAAACTGCATGCCGAGAAAAAATGAAGGCTATTCAGGAATACAAATCCTGAATGTATAATTGCTTTTGCAGGTGAGCGCGCTTGAGTTCTCACACGTGCTGAGCTGTTATAAACCTATTACTTTGACCGTCCCGTTGACTGATCGCCGTAGTGGCGTGGTTTCGCAAGGTCCAGTCTATCAACGACGCTCGTAAGCTTGCCTTTGAACGATTTTGGAAGGCGGACATTACCAACGCAAAACTACAGTGGAAGAACTACTTTCCAAATTCCATATAAAGTAATGAGCACGAACGTGAAGAATATGTTTTCAACATAACCATCATGCGGATAATTTATCAATAGCGCATACTTGATTGATTGATTTCCTTTGTTTTGCGCGAGGAACGATTACTTGTTTTCCTTCAAAGGAACACTTACCTAAACAGCTTCTGTGTTGACTTAGAAACCTAAGATATCCAGACTGAAGTAAACTGAATCAATTTTTCTTTAAATACATCGTAGTCATCGTACTTCACTCCCTCCTCAAATGTTAACGACTGTATTTGCTTTGGCCAACTTTCCAATTCAGAACACGTGATGTTCTCAAGGGAATTTGTATTATGCTAGTATGAGTGTGTCGAATATTTCAAAATTGCTGGTAGCAATCATACCCTGCGAGCAGGTGTTTTTTTCTGGCTTGCGAAGTCGTTCGCGTGGGGGTGTCAGTAAAACTTGGGTTGGGGTCGGGGTCGGGGTCGCGGCTCAGTATTTTTCAAAAAAAGATAGACCGCGACTCTGGCCCTGACCCCGACCCCGCGTTTCTGACTGACACCCTTCGCGTGGCGTGTCAGTCGCGTGGTTAAAACAACAACACGCCACGTGAACGATTCTGCATAAAGGTGCTAAAAGCCATGCCAAAAAGAAACCTATTCTCGTAGGATGTAGTACTAATAGTTCGTTTGAGTTAGAGCATGAGCCCATGGGCTCCTGGTTACCGGCCTGGCTAGAGTCTATTAGCCCAAGGCTGGCTTTACAGTCTAGCATTATTGCAATATACGGAAAAAAGTTTTGTATATATCAAATGGTGACGAGTGAAAAAGGCTCGGAAAATTCAATTACAGGTCTTACAGTGAAACCTAGATTTAACGAACATCTCAGTATAAAGAAGTTCTCGATATAACGAAGGATTTTTTTTACCCCAATAATAGTAAATCACACTGGAACCTCGATTTAACAAAGGGCCAAGGGACTGACAAAGTTTGTTCGCTACAACGACGTTTAGTTACATCGAGGTTCTTTCTCATCTAATTTAATATTATTGGGGTAAAGAAAATCGTTCGTTATGTCAATTCGTTACATAGAGGTTCGTTATATCGAGGTTCCACTGTATATGAACAAGAACCTCGATGTAACGAAACCTCTTTATAGCGAACAAATTTTGTCAGTCCCTTGGCCCATCGTTAAATCAAGGTTCCACTGTATTCCCTTCTCGAGTATACCATTTGATTACCTATTTGTATGCTTTAATGATCAATATGGCTGGAGGGGCCAAGTTCTTAAAAAACAACGCGGTCAATTTAATAATATACGGTAAAACAGGGTGGCAAAGTACGGAGGTACCTATTAAGCCGATTTTTTTAATGCTATAACTCATCTGTGAAGAATAGAATGAAATATTATCGACATTAACAAGTATCCTATTATCATTTCATCTGAGCAAATCAGAGGTCGAGAAACGAGAGAAAAGCGCGTGTCATAACTGTCTAATATATTTAATGTCTCTGCTTCTAGTTTCAAATGACGGAAATCACGGAAATTTCAAAGGAAAAGCACGCGTCACGCGTTGTGAAAAAGTTAATCACGCATCCCCCTGCTATGCCCATTAACGCCTCACGCGGCTAATTTGGACCCGATCACACATAACGCTGATAATCATAACTATAACAAAATTGTCAAATCTGATTGGCTATCAACTGCCCTGATTTCAGCCTTAATTGGACAGTTTAATAGCACAGTACGCGTGGCTTTTTTTTTTCACTGCTAGCAAAACAAAATTTCGAATTTCTTGTTTTGATTTAAAAAATAGCCTATTATGTTACAAATTTTGTTAATGTTATGATTAATTGGTAACAGAACTTCGTGTCGTCCAATTCGGTCTGTAATCATACTCGTGATTAAACAAATCGGACTCCCGCTACGCGGTCGTCTGATTTTGTTAATCACTCGTATGATTACAGACCGAATTGGACTCCACTCAGTCCTGTTACCATTACTAATAGGCCACTTCCGAGTTCAAAAAACCCTCACTTTGAAAATAAGGCTAGGTGTACAACCTTTCTTTTGAAAATGAGTTTTATTTGCATGAGAATGAAACATGATTTCCATGTCAAAGGCTGAGCACCCACCCTCGTTTTGAAACAGAGGCCCGCTGGAACTCGGAAATGGTCTATTAGGGTCCATCGCGTATCAGAGAAAACCTCCCAAGTTTGAGCATAAACTACGTCGCCATTAACAAAGATGTGAAAAAATTACCACTAAAGCAGTATTCGATAAGGATGAAAATTTATCATGATCAGGGCTACAATGACGACACCGGAGTTGTGACTCGTCATAGCAACGAAATGACACCATAACCTATTTTGCTTGCAGCCGCATTTCCCCACACTGGGAACTGTTCTTCCAAAATCTTTTACGGGAAGTTTTCCTGCCAATAGCCGCCTCGATTTTCGTGAAGTTTAAGCGAAATCTATAAGCTGCCTGGTTTGTGTACCTAGAAATAGGTACAACCTTCTATTGTAAATCATTTTCCGTAAATATGTTATTGGCTCCTTGTCCCATGATACACGGAAACATACCCAGTCCCCCACGATATGAAATCGGGCAAGAGGAGCCCGTAGTCAAATCATACCTAAAAAATAAAATATAAGTCATTTTCTTCTCTAGACTCGGTTGCTTCGTTTTCGAGTCTTACGTGATCACTGTCTAATTTGGCTGCTTTGTTTCCAAGGTCAATGAGTAATTCGCTTTCGAGTTCCAGAGAACTTCATTTCTAAATTTGGCTGTATATGATGTTCCAATTTGGTATAAAACATTTGGAGAAATTGGTTCATCTGGTAGCGGAAAAATAAAGTCATACCTCCTTACTAAAAAGAACAGAGGAAACGGACACCAAAATTAAAGGACCGAGCCAAGTGTAAAACTTAATAACAGAGGTGTTTGAATCATGAAGCTAGGATTGGGAATGAAGTTTGATGTCTTTTGGGCCAAGTGAGCTTTCCGTAATAGCGGAGAGGTGTTCATCAGGAGAGGTTCAACTGTACAGTCAAACTTCTTTAAAACGGACACCAAAGGGATAAAACCAATCGTCCGCTTTACATAGGTGTCCTTATTGTAGAGGTAGAGAATGTATGATTTTTTGTCATTTCTGGGACCAAACAAACTGTCCGTAATAGAGAGGTGTCTGTATTATAGAAGTGTCCGTAAGGAGAGGTTAGATTGTATTGACTTTTTAGTTATTGCCCCGGCAATTTGAATGTTGCTGTGAATCTAAAATGGAATTTTGGCGAACATTGTGCCATTGGTAAAGTTTATTCTGCTACTAAATATCCCACCTGTTTTCATTGTTAAAAGTTAGTGCCGTTTATATTGGCATAGTTCAATGACAGTCAATGGAAGTTTCGATGAATCTTCCTGTAAAAGGTCAACAGTTAAAACTTTCTTGTTTTTTTCAAATCAAGTGAGCAATAATTGAGTGTGAGTAATTGAGGATTGAATCGAAGGCTATATTCACGAAACACCGGACAGCTTTCGTGCCAACACGAAAAGATATCCGGTGTGGTATGAACACCTAAAGCTGAAACGCCAAGAAGTGAATCTATAGTTTCTGACGCGCTTGAAGCGATTGTATTTTGAAATCGAGCAGAGAAACCGTTGTCACTTTCATAAACATGTATACAGATTGCTTGCAAAAGGACCAAAGAGAAACCCAGGAAAATCATTTGGTCGTCATGTCCCTTTTTGTAGAGTGAAACGACAAGCTATAAAGCGCTGCCGAAATTTAAGCTAATATCTTTGGCTGGTTTCAATGGGGATCTCGATTACTGGGACCTCCGACAAATCAACCACAACGAATTTGTTTCAAATGATTGATTCCGATAGAACACGAGGTAAATTCCTACCGCTGGTTAGGTAGTGATCTACATGATCTTTCAAGGCTATAACAACCTCAAAATCGTTAATACATCAGCTTTCACTTGACAGTACCGCAAAATTGTGCGCTGTACGAGAAAAAAAAACACACACACACAAAACATTCCCTCTAATGGCAAAGTGGTCCGTAAAACCAACTTTCAGTGGCGCGAAATTCTCTAGGAAACAAGAGCAGGATAATCAGTCAAGTTTACCGTACAATAACTTCTTCCATAACATTTTTGCAGTAATTATAATTAGATTTTAAAACGCTTTAAACCGGTATATCCATAATACTAAGCGCGAATGTTAACACCAGGCTAAAGACAACTTCATATTATCCTATCAGAAGTACACTCCCCAGTCTCATGGCACTATCCGGGAAGTGCTTTATTGCCGACGAAGAAATTTTCCTTGAAAAAGAAAAAATGAAAGCCATTATTTACCACCAGGTTCAGACTTGATAACTAACTGAACATGGAAGATGAATAAAAATTTATATTTGTTGTATTTCTTAAAACACTTCTTAAGTCTGGAATAACAGGAAAATGTCCATTTGTCTTTATCTTATATTTCTTCATTTGTGGAGAGGATGTGCTCTAGTGGATGCTTTTGGATGGTTGAGAGGGTACAGAGTTTTGACTTGTTTGGCATGTACTTATCACTTTTGCAGGACTATAACATTCAGATGGCACAAATGGTGTTTAATTTCCTGCAGTATACAGCGAGTTACTTTAGAACTGTCAAAGCAATGGGCGATATGGCCAATAACGACGTTTTCTGTGGCGGTGTGGATAACGCCTGTGACTTGCAACAAAATATTGATTATCAGAAAAAACAGCTGGCCTTTGCGAAGGATGTGGGCGACAAGGCTGGAGAAGCTCGGGCCTGTGGTTATCTCAGTGACGCTTTTGACTCAGTCGGTGACTTCCAACAAGCCTTAGAGTACGGTAAGAAGCATCTCTGCATTGTTAAAGTAGTTGGTGACCTTTCCGAAGAAGGACAAGCTTATGGCAATCTGGGCAATGCCTATAAATCACTTCTTGACTTCCAACGAGCAAGAGAGTGTCACACGAGATCTCTCACCATTGCTAAAAAGACGAAAGACCGGATCGCATAAGGTTGTGCCTATTGCAATTTAGGCAATGCTTATCGATTACTTGGTGACTTTAAACGTGCGATAGAGTGCCATGAGCAGTACGTGAGTATTTCCAAGAAACTGGGTGACAGAGCCGGAGAAGGTCGGGCCTATGGCAATCTCGGTAACACATTTGATTCACTTGGAGACTTCCACCGAGCCATAGATCACCTTGAAAAACATCTTGCTATTGCTAAGGAAGTGGGTGACAGGCATGAGGAGGGGCGTGCTCATAACAAGGTCGGTGTCACTGACAGTTTACTAGGTGAATTTCAACGAGCCATAGAACACCACAAGAACCACCTCATCATTGCCAAGGAATTACGCGACAAAATCGATGAAGCCTCTGCCTGTTGCAATCTCGGGAGGGCTTATCGATCACTTGGTGACGTACAACGAGCCATTGAGTATCATGAGGAAGAGCTGAGAATCTGCAAAGAGGTAGGTAACAAAGACGGAGAAGGAAGTGCCTACGGCAACTTAGGAAACGCTTATCAGTCGCTTGGCAACTTTGGGAAGGGTCTAGAATACCACAAGAAGCAACTCTGCATTTCTAAGGAGGTAAATGACAGAATAGGTGAAGGATGTGCGTATGGTAATCTCGGCAGCCCTTTCCACTCTCTTGGGGACTTCCAAAGTGCCTTACGTTGCCATAAAGAAGATCTCAGCATCTGCAGAGAATTAAAGAATAAGGCAGGAGAAGGGGGCGCTTATGGCAATCTAGGTGTCGCTTACCACTCACTTGGTGAATACGAAACAGCCATAGTATATCACAAGAAACATATTAAAATTGTCAACGAAATAGGTGACAAACTTGGAAAAGGAAGTGCCCAGGGAAATATCGGTTTAACTTACAGAGCACTGGGTGAATTCAAACTAGCTATAGATCACCACATGAAGCATCTTACCATTGCACTGGAAGTGAGTGACATAGCCGGAGAAGGGCGTGCGTACAGCAATCTTGGAAGCGCTTATCAGTCACTCGGTGAGTTTCAACGAGCCATCGGATACCATAAGCAATCTTTGAGCATTGCCAAGGAAGTGGTTGACAAGTCCCTTGAAGGACTTGCATACGGGGGTCTGGGAAGCGCGCTCTTTGAACTTGGTGACTTCAAACGAGCTGAAGAGTATTATAAGAAGAGTCTAGCCATTGCTAAGAAAGTAGGCGACAGGGCTGGAGAGGGACATGCCTACTGCAATCTTGGTAATACATTACATTTGGTGACTTGGAAAAAGCTTTCGAGTACCACACAAAAGAATTAATTATTGCCAAGGAAATAGGCGACAGGGCAGGAGAAGGATCTGCCAATGGTAATCTTGGAAACATATACCAGTCACTTGGCGATGTGCAGCAATCCATAGAGTACCACACCAAGCATGTTACTATTGCCAAAGAGGTAGGCGATAAGGTCGGAGAAGGACATGCCTATGGAAATCTCGGCAATAATTATCAATCGCTTCGCGACTTTCAACGAGCCCTAGTCTACCACAAACAAGATTTAAGTATTGCAAAGGAAGTGGGTGACAAACCGGGAGAAGCAAAGTCGTGCTTTTATTTAGGTCTTGATTTTGAGTCCCTGGGTTCTTTACACGAGGCTCTAAATTATTTTCGATCTAGCGTAAGTAACTATGATACCGTTAGGAAACATTCAGTTTCCGAAGACGTGTGCAAAATTTTTTTTCGGGATCAGTATCGAAATGCTTATACTTCGTTGTGGCGGGTGTTGATAAAGCTCCAAAATACGGACGAAGCCTTAGAGGTCGCCGAGCAAGGCCGTGCTCAGGCTTTGATGGATAACCTGAAAATTCTTTATGGTACTAAAGTATCTACGCCAGTCACACTTGAATGTAAAGAAACAATTTTTTTCATAACAAGAAAGACATCTTCACAGACAGTTTTTCAGGCGCTACAAAAAGACACTATCCATTTTTGGATCCTGGGAAAGGGAAACAAGAGAGCTTTTAAAAAGTGAAGTTGGAGACTCAAAGTGCGTGCAAAGACCATATTCTTAACTTGATAGAAAAAGCGTTAAAACAAATTGGTGCCGGCGTCGGTGTTAGGTGCGAGAATCGCTCACTGGATGAGCTAAACGACGACTTGCTTTCTAGACGAGGTGACGGCGAAGGAACAGCAAAGCCATCGGACGGCACCATCGATTGTTTACAGCCATTATATGATACTTTTATTGGTCCCATCGAAGATTTGCTTTTGGGTGACGAAATAGTCATAGTTCCTGATGGGCCTTTGTGCTTAGTCCCGTGGGCGGCAGTAAGCGAAACGATCAGGATCCGAACCGTTCCTTCGCTAACACTATTGACGCTGATCACAGACTCCCATGAGGAATACCACAGCAAAAGAGGGGCCTTGCTTGTTGGAGATCCATGTCTGAAACAAGTTACCTCAAGAAGTGGTAAGCCCGTGTACGCCCGGCTGCCGTACGCCAGAAACGAAGTAGAGATGATAGGAGAAGTACTAAAGATCAAGCCACTAACCGGAAAAGAAGCTACCAAACGCGCGGTGCTCGAACAAATCACTTCAGTTGCATTAATTCACATTGCAGCACACGGGAGAGAGGAAACCGGGGAAATTGCTTTGGCCCCAAATCCTGGGTATACGACCGAGGTTCCTAAAGAGCCGGATTATATTCTAACAATGTCCGAAGTGCAGGCTGTTAAGTTGCGAGCACGACTTGTTGTACTCAGCTCTTGTCATAGTGGTAGAGGTGCAGTCATGTCTGAGGGCGTGGTTGGTATGGCACGGGCTTTTTTGAGTGCTGGTGCTCGCTCTGTTCTTGTGTCACTCTGGGCCATTCATGACGAGGCCACAATGGAGTTCATGAAAAGTTTCTACAAGCATTTGAGATATGGAGAAAGCGCTAGTGTTACTCTTCACCAGGCCATGAAATTTCTTCGCGAATTGGACAAGTTTTGTGTCCCGAAGTACTGGGCCCCATTTGCACTCATTGGCGATAACGTTACTATTGAATTTGGGGAAAATAAGTAAAGGAGACGCAAAGATATTCACTGAATATATATGGAAACCAATTAGTATTTCAGTCTAAAGACTGAAGTCATTAAAAGACGGTGTAGGTAATGCAGTGTAACTTGTATTAAGCACAGACTCACAGGACTTTCGCTGGTGTCCTTAATAAAGAAGACCTCTAAGTACAAGTTTGCTAAACAGAAAACATGGGAAGAAAAGTTGAGGCAACCTGAACCATTCGCCCGCTTATTACGTGTAGATTCACAATCGAGAATCTAAGAGGTCGCTGGAAGTGTTATCGCTTTGCCATTTCCATATTAACCCAGTTTCAGAAATAAGTTGCGTGTTTTTCCTCGCGATACTAAGTTTTATAATTTTCCTTATCTGAATTTAATCACTTGACAAGGTAAAAAAAATTGTTACTTAGCTTGGTATAAGGAAAAAATCCACGACATAGGTGAGGGTTGAAATTACAGTCAATTATCAATGGTTGAATGTAATTGAAATGATTGGAAGCAATAGCTGAAGCACACAGCTGTAACGTACTGTCTGGCCATGTTATGGATTAAAGAACAGAAAAATGTCCTTTTTACCGTAGATAAAGCGGCTCAGAAGTCAGCATACAACACGCCACTGTCAGATGGTATCACTCAATTACTTACCTCTTTCACCCGCCAACAGCTTGACGACACTTCTCAATGTTTTCTATCATTTCGTCTTTTATCACCTTCACAGGATCGACAAACTATTTGCCGTTAGCACAGAGAAATGGCTTTGTTTTCTTTGTCGTGTTGAAAAAAAGGTAAAATGGTTCAAATTATTTACAGCTCTGAAAGGCTTCCCCACAACCACGATACAAAGGTTTGGCGCATTTGATGCCAAATAACCCACCTATGCTGAAGGGTAGCCACGTTAGTTTGTTTCCTTTTGTGTAATATATTGCCACTTTATTTTCACTCTTTATCCATTATCATTGACTATTTTTTCATTATCATCAATTTCTCCGTGGACTTCACGTCCCGAGAGACGCCATCTTCGGCAATAAAGGCTGCTCCTCGCATTGTAGGCTAAAAAGGCTTACAACTGAATCTCTCATTATCGCATTTTTGTTTCATAAACATGAATTTCCAAAATAAAACGACCGTTTTTACTGCGCTTTTCACAAACACGCGAACTCTAAAGTTCAAAAGCCGCCTTCACAAATGCGTTTTTCGCTGCCGTCAATCATAACTACGATCACAAGCAACGAACCTTGAAACACACAAACACACAAAACGGATTCAAATTCACCAACCACAGATCACAAACAATGACCTTTTGAACTTGTTTAAGTAAAGTTCTGTGTCCTAAGAGGTCCGCTAAGATGATTGACGGCAGCGAAAAACGCAAATTTCAGTTGGCTTTTGAACTTCAGAGCTCACGTGTTATTAAAAAGCACAGTAATTTAACACACACAATGTTCATCGCATTCTCCGTCGTTCCACAGGATAGAAGGCTTTCATTATTTTAATGACACTGGAAAAAAATCCTTATTCTGGTGCAATCCAGTTAAATAACTTCAAGGCCACTTCATAACCAAAGAAAACACCCTAAAAATAGAAATCACCAGGATTACCAAGAAGCAGAGAACAGTTTTACTTAAAAACACGAGGAAAGATGCATTTTTTTTTAAACAAACCCTTCGTTAGTCTTATATTAGTGAATCTCTGGCGAGTTTTAAATCACAGTTGGTCCACAGAAATCCCATTTAGGATCAGTCTTACAAGTGAAATGCTAATGTTTAATATGGACGTTTTGGGTCAGTGGTTAGAGCATCTGATCTAGAACTCGAAGGGTCATGAATTCTATTCTCACCTAAGGCGGGGGGGGGGGGGTTTTTCCTGGGTTTGCTAGTGATTTATTTCCCCTCCAAAATTAATCTCCCAGCCCCGAGTGTTCTAAAACGTGGATAACCCAATCCGCCACTTTTTAACAAGAAGGGAACGGGCGCCGAATGGCGCCTTATATTGGCTGTTTGGTTGAGTGGTGAAGGAGATTGGTCTTGAAGCCGTAGGTTTACTAGTTTTTATTTACCCTTAGGCGGGGGGGGGGGGGATTTTTCTGAGTTTGCTAGTGATTTATTTCTCCTTCCAAATTAATCTCCCAGACCCGAGTTGTCGAAAACGTGGATAACGCAATTCGCCACTTTTTAACGAGAAGGGAACTGGAGCCGAAATGCGTACCGCAAGTATTTGTGGGATCATTACCGGGAACGCGCCGGTCAGCAGTCCCAGAAGTCTTTGCGAAAGTTAACTCAGCTTCTTGCTCGTTCTTAAAGTGGCAAATTGGTTTCCCATATACTTATCCACGGGAATGCGTTATCCAACGCTTAGACAACCGGGACCAGAAAAATCGAGAAAGAAGTCTGCGTAAGAGGCTATGACGGTTCAACATGGACGTCTTGACGTCCAAGTAAAAACCACGCCAAATAAAATCAGATTCATTCAGGAAAGTGTTTCTTTTTCCTTCTTTCTCTGAGGCCGTAAGCCGGTGCTAGCAGTTCTCGCAATTCAAAAATGGGGGATCTCAACCCTCTAAGAGATCAGAAAGTGGCGTTGGCGTGAAGAGGAAGATGGAACAATCCTTTTTTTCTTCCTATTTGCTTTTCGCACCACTCTCCATTTCCTCTCTTCACTTACCCCGTTGACTGCAAAAGCACGCATCAACACCGGAGTTAGTCCCTTATATAGACTTGCGAAGTTTTCATTTCTAACCTAGAAAATGATTAAATAACCGAGTTAGCCCAAAATATAGATTTTACCGCAACTCATTATGTGTCAAATTTAGTGTTCTTCAACACCTGGACAAATTCAAGAGCACTTCTTACTGGAGAGCCATTTTCTATAAGAGTATTTGCAACAGAGTAAGGCGCTGTTCCTCCCATGTGCTCAGGTTTACAGGGGAGCTTACGCAACGACGACGACGGCAGTGAAAACGTCACTAAAAGAGAATATGCCTTCTTTCAAACTTTATCGTGTCTATCAAGACCCGCTTATTTTGTCGAATGCGACTGTATGCAGGGTTAAAAGATAAATGAGAATTCGTCGTCGTGTTTTCACGTCCTCCATTTCAAGTTTCACGTCCTAGTCGCACACGTTAAAGAGGTAATATATCAAGCATGAGATGCAGTGTTTCATCACCAGATGAAACATCGAGAAGAGAGTTGAAAATACGACGCGCAGCGGAGTATTATTGACCAACTTCGAGGTCAACAAATGATCAACAAATCAGCCACGGCCTGTAAACAGCGAACTTACTAGTTCTATAAATGCATCTCTCACTCCTCTAGGATACTTTCCTTCGGGAGCTAAAAAAGAATGGTCGAGGAAGAAAATCAACTACGGAGGAAGAATAAATATAAGTCTATAACATTCTCTGCAAACAGGGAGTCTCCGGTCTAAAGAGTTTGTGCAAGGGACAATTGTTACACCTTTTGATAAAAGACTAGACTTGCAAAGGTAGAAAAACTGTTAAGTTTAACAAAGGGCAAAGAACAACGAAAGAAGATAAGTCTTGAGGAAAGAGCATAGCGAGGCTGGTTACAAAAAAGGAATTTTAAAACGTTTCACTGAACATACCTACAATTGTAGCCAGGGTCGTTTCATAATTACGACCCTGTTATAACCAGGACGAAATCTTAACGATATGTCGTAAGGTCTTGCCATTACTTATTCAATATCCAGAATTCAATTTGAAGATAAACACACGATATGCCGTAAAGTTGTTGAAACTTCTTTCCGTCAACGGAAGAACAAAGAAAAAGCTTCCCTAGAAAATTACAGAGCCCGGTTGACTCACTGAGTCTTGCCTGTCCTCCAAATGAGCACAGAACAACGTAGGCACATCTGCACGAACTAGCAGGGGAACGGAGGAAGAACGCTCAAATAAAAACACTTGCGGACGTGCAGCGCTAACAAAACTTCGGGCGAAACGTTCGACACGTGAACCCACGCGAATACGTATGTGCGTTTCAATGAGTTACCTATTTGTACACGTGATTTCAACACATCGGCGGGAAGAATGGAGAACCAGCAGATCATGCCTGTCGTACCTTATAAGGTAAAAACACACAAACACATCAATGAAATTAACCCGAGGTGGAAAAAAGGCAAGACAACTATTTTCACTATGCCATAAGAAACCAGGGTAGGATTTTGAATTTCTGGGGTAACGCTGTTTAAAATATCAGCCTAACAGGTCCTTCGCTTCTCATTTCCTGTTAGTTCCCGGTAGTTGGCCCCAGCGCCAAGGACTTTTATCCACTGCAGCGCGCCAAATTTACAGAGGGAATTTTCCTCCTGTGAGTTTTACCCAATCAAGAACGGTTTTACTATTGGGCCGTCAATCAAACCCGATCACGCCAGATGAAACGTGACTTGAACTATTTAACTATTTATAAATTCAATTGAGCTGTGCATTTTGTCGGCAAACATTATCGGGAACTGCAACGCGCACAAAAGATTTAGTGGTCGTTATTTTACTCCATTTGAGCATTTACCAAGGCCAGTTTTACCTGGCAGCCATGAGTCGGAAAAACATTACCGACTTGTTTTGACAAACTTTGACACACGCGTCAGGGACGCAAATAGTTCGCGCCACAATGACGTCACTTGATGCGATTTTTTTTTTTTCAGGGGAAACAAGTTGAGCTCCCGTTCTCTCGTTAGACTTTCTTACAGTCCTTCGCTTCTCATTTTCTGTTCCGGAAATTGGATAAAAAATCTACCGCTCGTGCTTCGCGCTCGTTAAAAAATATGAGCTCGACTTGTAGGCAAGTCTACTCTCTCGCTCGCTTTTGCTGCAGAAAAGATAAAAAGTCTACCACTGGCGCTTCGCGCTCGTGAAAAATATTTGAGCCAAATTTGTAGGCAAGTCTACCTAACAGGCAGTGTTCAAACTTCTTGGGTTCGGGAGCCGAAGGAGCAAGGCTTTTGAGTTCAGTTCTAGCACACTACAATACCTAAAAAGAGGAAATAAATCCTATAGAGCTAAAGTTAATCAGTAGGTATAGATATAATTAAAGTATGAGCATAAAAAGTATCTAAAACCCATTTATATCTGACCGTTATGGGGAAAATGTTATTCCCTTTCTCTGGGCAATTGGTGGTGTTTACCAAATACGGTTCGTAGGTGTCAAAAGAAAATCTGTATTTTTGTTTTGATAAAGTCCTGCCAATGATTAACAACCCTTTAACAACTTCAAAGCAAGCGTTTGGAAACTTTTTTGATACTTAGGACCATTCCCATTCTTAGGGTTACGACTGATTCTCCTTCTCTTTTTCATGGGTTGTCTTTACATGAGTGAACAAACAAAACATACCTCCGGCAAGGATATACCTAAGCGGGTTTAAATTTTCACGGCTAGAAGGAAAAAAAGAGACAAAAACTAATAGGAATCATGCTCAAAAGTAACAACTTCACATCTCGATGATATCCAAAGATGCATTCCATCGTTTTTCGGCATGGTGCAAGTCAGGGAAGATGAATAATCAAGATATACTTATTGTTTGGCCATAATAACTGATTTGAGTTCATTTCGCGAGAATCTCAAAGGGGACTTCATGTGAACAGGGAGCTTAAACGGGGAAGTTTTTGAGCGACGCACATCAACCATAAGTGGACATTTTGAATTCTTAGGCAGTGGTTTCGCCCAATTTTTTCCGGCAAATCGTCTTTATTAGCGTAAAAACACTTTGCATTGCAAACATGGTAGAGTCAAGGCATATTGAAACAGACAGGGCTTCACTTCAGGTTGACATGTGCCGCTCAGAAACGCCTATGCTTAACTTCCTTAATACCACGACAACGGCGGCCAACGATGATGTTTTGTTCATCAATAACAACGTGCACGGTCTCAGGTTATAGGTGTTTACCCGACCCATACATCGGTAGTACCCTCAAGTGTTACATTGCAGGGCAGATTTGGTTCTTTCTGGCCAGATAGAGACTAGGGAACGGTTCGACCGGCTTCAAAAGGCGTTTACGATCAAATTTCCAGGGGATGTGGGCTAATTACTTCAGTATATTGCGTATACCTTTCTCCCTCTAAGGTGATTTTACTAAGAATCCATTCATAGCTGAAGAAATAGCAACCCATTCCAGGAATATCTGCAACAGACATTCACAAAATTTGTTCAAGTAACTAAAACAGGCAAAAAATAGAACGAGGCCAATATTCAGCCATTTTGACAGAAAAAGCTTGGTCAATAAACGTTTTATTATATGGTCTAAGGGAAAACATATTCTAGCGGGATCAACGCGGGAAATCCCGAGATGGCATAGGCCCATCGTGCCCGCTCATGTAGCCAATCAGAAAGCAGGCTTCGCTTCATATTGACCGCTCATGGATTCAGCGATATAATAAGAGGGAAAAATGCACGTCATTTGAGTGTCAATGTTTTACCCTTTGTAAATGCTACACTTCGCTATGTGTCTACTAACCTCTGAGTAGCGTTGCGCATGTTCCTTTGTATAATGACGCTATACCTCTCTCTTTGTACAGCTGTTTCGCACAATTCAGGGGACCTTTGTATGGTCGCTCTCCTCTGGAATTTTGTTGAACCTGCAAATTGTAAAGGAAGTGGCTTGTACAGTGATAGTCGTTTTTACCTGTATTATCCACTTGCGTGATTGACTAGTAAGAAATTAGTGATTGATTAGTTGAAAGAAAGTTTTCAGACTATTTCAGTGTCTTAACAAAATAAAACACCATAGTCAGGGGCGAAGCCATTTTTTTCAAGAGGTAAACACATTTTTTCAAATCTTCTTCCCTCCAACTCAAAAATCTGTGCCTTGATTAAAGGTTTGTAAGCTTGGTTTTTCTACATTATTCTAGCATCTTAAGGTGACATTTTAGTAAGGCGAAAGCATAAAGCATCATTCGAACATTTTTGCGGCATTTTCCCGGAAAACTGTAACTTTTTTTCAGAGAAAATAAAATTAATTTTATGTTTCAGAGAAAGAGAAGACTGAGTTAAAGTCAAAATTAAAAATAAATGTCAAATGCTATCCTAATACGGCCGTTTATACGTTTTTTTTTTTTTTGCTGTACCATTTATGCGTTTTTGTTACTACCGTTAAAATTAATTTTCAAAAATACCTCTCTATGATGAACATTATCGAGCATTCAAGTGACTTTTTGGGGGGAAGACGGAGCATCCTAGTGGAAACAACGGAGCATCATGGTGGAGCATTTTAGTGGAGAAACAAGCGCATAATAAAGAAAAGCCTATTGTAAGCTTAGGCATTTTTTGCTGTATATGAACTGAATTAAGTACTTTTGTATAAGTTTTTGTCGCCTTTTTGGGTTCATTGACTAAAGCAATCAATCGGTAGGATCTAGGTAGGATCACAGCCTTTTATTTATAAATGAAATCCTTTTTTACCGCTGTTTGCCACATTGTTTTTGACCGACAGAAGCAGTCACATTAACGTTATCCTGGTTATCGTGCTCTCCTTTGTCTACTGCGAAGGCAAGCCCAGGTGAAAATAACACGTTCACGCTTTAAACTACCCCCCTTACTATCTGCGCACTATCTATCCGCCTTTTCTTCACGTATATCATTCAAGTTTCAAATGAAAACCGACTTTCTCATGTGGGAGAAAGAAGTCCGTAGTTTTGAAAACCGACATTGAGGTATGAAAAAACAGACAGATCGTTGTTTTCGAAAAAAATACTCCAAAGAATCAAACAGAGTTAAACGGAATTGAGGAAATTTGTGTTATTGTTTTAACTTTTACACTTACTTTTTTTAATTATTCTCTTTTTGATGTTATTTTTATGTTACTTTATTTTTTACCCTCGACCTTTTTTCAGGTACGCACGTGCTTACCGTGCGTACAGGTAGCTACGCCCCCGATAGTCCCTGCTGGCATCCTAAATAGCTTTCGCGCTCAATATATGAGGCTAAGACTAGGTCTCTGGAACGCCAAGAGTTCAGTTTGAATCAACCTCGTAAATATGTCCTCATCGACATTTCAGTTCACTTCATTCACTCTTTACATATGTTAAAAGAAATTGCACTGCCCGCATTTAGCTGGGCCGCGTAGCAAGCGTTTCCGCACGTGTTCGTCCTGTCCCCTGCCCTTCCCCTTCTTCCATCTTTTTGCTCTCGTTTCACCTTTTCCGCAATGATCGGAAATGCTTACTACGAAGCAGTTAGCAAGGGCTAGTTAAGGAGGGTAGTTGTTACAAAGATATTAATAGAAGAACTACGTATTGCAAAACAAGAGGGAAAAAAAGTAGAAATAAATAAATGAATAAAGTTAAGTATATCGTAAATTTATAAAAAATGCAGTCACTCGCTCTCAACGGACAGTGGTTACGGGAACTATGCTTTCATAAAACGCAGATCAGATCATCATCGCTCTAAGAGACAGTCTCCTTGTATTTAGGCTCATTGGTTACGGTTACGGGTATTTTACCTGTAGCCACACACCGTATATGGTCGTGGTCATGTGCATGTGTTGTTTGGGAAACTTAACATTCTTTCAAGTCAAGGCAGGGGTATAGTCTGCTACACAGCCGTTCTTTGTGTCGTCACGCAAAGTTCCTGTGAGGAGGAGCGTTGCGTGACGACACAACGAACTGCTGTGCAGCTGACTAGGCGGTAGTCTGCTACACAGCCGTTTTTTAGTGTCGTCACGCAACGCTCCTCCCCGCTAAGCATCATGGGATATATGAAATTCCCCCCTTTAGATCTGTTTCTCTTTCACAATCTACTTCGAACGGTAAGTCGGGTTTCACATTGAAACGATGGTTCTTGTAACATTCAGGACGTATTTATAAGATTTTAACCAGGACTGGTGAGTTAACTTCTGATTTAGAGAGCGGTTTCGCCAAGCGTCATTGCGTATAAATAGGGGTTTCTAAATAGCTACAATATGGAGTTTAAGTATCCCGTATACGGCAAACGGCAAACGTCAGATTCAAGTTGAGAATTTCTCAAAATAGAAAATGAGCCGATAAAAACAGCTCAAAACAATTCTTATTTACATGTTGAAATAATGAACAGTAGGGGAACCTTGGTCACACGGTACAAATTCGCGTTTGCCGTTCGACGTAAACGTGATGCTTAACATCTCCAATATCAACTATACGTCGAATGTAGCTAACTTTGAGTTTCTCCTTTGGACGTTTGTCTTGTGCTTGTTAGCTGAAAAGTGGTGAACTTTACAGTGATCCATTTACGGCAGTGCCTGATCCAAGCGGAAGTCGAAATCATATTCGTACATTTTGAAGTTCCAAGTCAAATTATTTGCTGAAAGAGCTGATTTCGTCGAACGTAATTTCTCAGTTTAGACATCACATACATAAACAACTCGTCGACAGAATTCAAAATTATCTCATTAGCATTATATCAACAGGGCTATAATAACTTCTGGTTCGCAGTACATGGCAAACGGGCGGACTACACGTGTTTAATTTGGGGACTTCATTATTTCTTTTTCGTTTTGACCACGTTTCTAAATTTTATTTCTGTAATGACAGACTTAAGAGTTGACGGTTGATTAATTCAATGTCCCGAAATAAAGCAATGCAATGACATTTTTATTACATGCAAACCACAAAAGACGTGCTCCCATGCAAACTACCCTTGGGGTGAATTTAAACAAATGTCTTCCTACATGCTTTGTGCAATTTATGCGCTTGAGCAACTGTCTGTTGTAGAAATCATCATAAAGCCTCATTAACACTTACAAAGGTTTCCTTAAAAACGTCTTCCGTTGAAGCGAAAATAGAAAATACGGTAATGTGATATTATACATTTTTGTCAAAACTCTACACTCTCAATTTCCCTGCAGTTTGTGAACCCAAAACAAAAGATTATCCACGGTCAGAGAGCTCCCAAAATAGAATCAGAACCGTTGTTTTCATCTTTAATTTGCAGCCCTCAATTCATAACACTAGAAAAAAGTTAAGACTAAATGTAATCCTGACTCACGCCCTCTTTCAAAGCCTGGAGTCGTCTATAGGCAGTTTAATTCCAAACCTGATCGGTGAACGCGATTATGTGTGCGTGTGTTATTGGCTAGGGGAATAGAAGGATTTTTTTGGTTGCCTCACCTGTCTAATTAGATTTTATGGTTTGTTTTTCAAGGATATTCAGAACGGAATAAAGAGAGCCTCTAACAATGGCATCATCAACCAACGCAGATTCAGTTGAGGAGCTTGTTGCAGAAACTCTGGAGAACTTAACTATTAAAGAATTTGGAGGTGAGCCAAAAACGTTAAAGGAGCTTTCAAGCCCAGAAAAGTTCTTAAACTGGCAGTTTCCGAGTTGGAAGTACAACAATGAGACTGTAATGATTCCCCCTGTCTTCACTCCTTGCCAACTTGGCCTGACTGTTTCCAGAGGAGGCCAATATCGTCACCAAGATGAAGTCAACATCATTGGAATAAGAGGTGAGGATCTAGTCTACAATCGTCTGCAACAAATTGGCCAGGCGAATAAGCTAGGAATGTTCGTTATTCATGACTTCAAGCTCGAACATATCAAAAAATGGAACGAGGGATGTAAAGGTGAAAGGCCCGAAGACCAAGTACCAAAGCCGCCCAAATCAGCAGGGCAAAGTGATTTTATTGTTTTTAACCATAAAAAGGGAGTTATTCTGGTTGAGGTGAAAAATATAAGGGAAACAACTGAAGAAGGTGCTCAAAAATGTTCCAATCTGGATAAGGAGATCGAAGACGCTAGGGAAAACCAGCTGAAACGATGCAAAGAAACAGTGGTGGCTTTTGCTAGATCTTTTTCTGACAGTGAACAGAAGAGTGACATAGACCCATTTCCAGTCCGCATGGTTATAGCACTGCCCTCGACCAAAAAATGTACTGTACATGAATGTCCAGATGACACTTTGTTCATATACCAGGAAGACCTGAAAAGTCTTGAAAGCTTCTGGTGCTGGTGGAATGACAAAATCGAGACAGATGAGTCAGTGGCTACCACAGTGGACAACAACAAGGCCTATGAGCTCGCATTGTCACGAGTCTTGGCGGTACGACATTTGGGTCCCATAAGCGAGAATGAGTACACAGCTATCACAAGTCACACTTTAAAAAACTTTAAGCACCTAGAGAATCTGGCTGAACACTACTGGACGATTAGAGAAACAGAACATCCCCATCTCTTTCGGTGGTGTCAAGACATGTTCCAAGTTACAGAATCGCACAGTGAGCTTTCTGGTGAAAAAGTCTTAAAAAAACAATGTTTTGCTGCTTTAGGGAGTCTTGGCATTCCTGAAAAGGGAAACCTTCACAAGAATCTCAATAGGAGTCTCTCTGATAAAATGTTCTTGTGGGGTGACAAGCCAACAGTTGAGGACGAAAACGTTTTCCAGTACCTCTCAGTGAAGTACATTATGGACATGGCCAGCATTGTCAGCTACATGAACAGAGCCAATGAGGCATCGAAAGAAACGACCTTGACTGTACCAGACACAACTCTGAAGGACCTCAACCTGGATAACACGGACACAATTAACTGTCTGAATGAACTTTCAAAGCGCTTAGCCAAACAACAAAGCAAGTTTTTATTGGGCGAGCATTGCACAAACCTCGATGTAGAATTATACAGCAGCCTTTCTGAGGGAGACATAAGAATCCAGCCACTTCGTGGCAAGAGACAATGGGCGCCGATTTTTACTGTGGAACAGCTTGCTGTGTTTGAAGGACCAAAGAAACAACTCATAATCGGCGGACCGGGGAGTGGAAAAACAGAATTAATGAGGTCTAAAGCCTTGCTTCTCAGCCAGCAAACCAAAGGAGAACAAAGCATTCTCTATTTGATTCAATTGCCAGAAAAAGAAAAGACTGTCTTCCCAAACGCTATGAGACAGTATTTTAAACAAAACAAGGCAAAAAATATTCACGTAAAGACGATTGATCTCGAAGGTGAAACCCTTGAAGAGAAAAGGGCACAGAGAAGAGGACAATGCTCCCAAAGAGGAGTACAAGAATACGATCATATCTTGATTGATGACCTATGGATCGTTCAGGAATATGATCATATCTTTATTGACGAACTATGGATTGGTTCAAAGAAACGATACCAGATGCAAGAGGACTCTGACGCAAGCAGCGTCATTGATGAGCTACGTATTGTAAAGGAGGCACTCGAGAAGAATGTCAACGGCTACGTTTGGATGAGTTCTGTCTTTGACTACAAGAAACAGCTCTTTGAAGATGAAAAAAGCGGAGAAGAGATTGAACGGCTGCTAAAAGCCCAAAAGTTACAAGGAAAAGAAAACCCACTTTACAGAACCCTCAGCACTCCTTCCCTCTTGGAGACATTACAAAGAAATGGTGGAGTTGTGAGCCGGATCAAGCACTTGCTTAGAAGCACAAACAAGATTGTAAAACTATTGCAGGATTATAGTGCCCGCTACTTCGACCGAGATTTCCCTTACGGCACAGACAAAATGCTCAACCACAACGTGGAAGGTCAAGACATAAGCTGGATCGCAGTCCAACCACAAAGACGTAGCGACACCACTTCACAAGACAGGGAAGAACTTGTCAGGCTAATGTACAAAGAGTGCGCAAAAGTCGTTAATAAAGCACTAGGTTCCTCTTCAAAATTACGACCACCATCGATGAAAGCAAAGAATCTGCAGCTCTTCTCTGGAGACATAATGGTCGTAAATTTCGTCGCCAGATATGGAACAGAGAACAACCTGGGCGACGAGCTACGAAACCAGGGAGTACAATTCCATGAGCTGACAGCAAAAGGGGCAGTTCCTGAAGATTATCCAAGATGGTCTTGCGACAAGGTATGCCTTTTACAGTCAAATTCAAGATTTGATTCTACCCTTATTGACGGAACAGAGTGGCCTATGGTGGTTATACTTCACACATCTGAATTGCTGTTAAAGTCTCTTCGCAACTACGATACATTCATAGCTATGTTCAGAGCACAGGCAAAACTTGTCGTTTTATCAGATTCATGGAGATCTTCCGAAGAATTCATAAAAGTTATAGACGAAAAGATTAAATGATCAGGAAGAGGAAAAACAACCATAACTTCGGTGCACGATTTCTCGAGCACTGATTGGTCGAGAGTTAAGATATGACGTGAAGGTGACGCAATTTGTTTTTCTCTTCCTTCGGCGCTCGATTTTCCGAGAAACTTCAACGGAAATGGACGTCAAAAACTGTCAATATTTTTGCAAAAAACAAATAGACAACAATTTTTCATGATTTATACTCTAGCAACTAGTGACTGGCGCGGGAGAAGCCATGTTGTCCGAGCCAGCGCTCGACCACTAACTTATAACTGACTAACTTAAATACTCTTCTCAACAATAGAAAAGTTAATGTCCTCGAAATGTTCAAAAATTTGCAATGAAGTAACCCGCCTGCGGCTCGTAGCCCAAATTAAGTACTGAACATTTGTCGTCATTTATTGCGGGCGACAAGAGGAGCTCGCAATCCTAATCTCCAGGTTGCTATTACGCATGCGTCGCACATATGTGGCCAGCATTCGTTTGGACTTTCACTAAGAATCAATGGAATGTACAAAACGCAATTTGATCACGCGCGTTTCAACCTTTTACCCCTCGTAATTTAATCACGCTTTTTTGACCATCTGTCACGTGAAACTTATGCGTTGGAGCGAAAGAATTTGGACCTCCGATCGTTGTAGCCCGCACTCCTTAACCGCTGGTTATTGCTAGTATATTATTAGTATTGCAGGCGTTAAGAATCCAATGCATGCGGTCGACTGCATATCAAAGTTTGTCTTAGATCTCTGTTGATCGCAAATGTTTTTCTTCTTCTTTTCTGTTGGTGTTTAATGATCATAACCCTTATATTTTCTGTTAGTGCTAAAGTTTTCCTTCTGTTTTTTGTTGGTCGTCAATGTTTGGACTTTTTCAGATCAAGCAAATCTTACTATTGTTTATTGTTCGCTGTGATTACTCCGCAACCAAGTATGCCCAGTGTTTTGTGCCCTTTTGTCCTGCTTTAATTGTTAATTTGTTTCAAAAAGAAAAGTGTCTGATCCAGGAACAGAAAACTCGTCTAAGAACGAACTTCGCTGTGAGATTTATTATTACGGGTAAAATGAAAATTCTTTAGGCAACAATTCTTATCTTGTTTAAGTGGCGATAATAGGGAAACCAAAGTTTTATTCGCCCAATGGAAATCGCCGTAACTAACTTGTATAATCCTATCGACAATACAACGTTTTTTATGACTGCAAGCCTTTTTTAATTAATTAATATTTATTCGTTAATTCGTAGTGCATTTATTTTTTCTTTATTTACTTTTTTAAAGACCTCCCGCAAGAATCTTCATTTTTGAAGGAGGTGGGTTCATGGACAAAGAAGAAGTAAAATAACTAATGCCCAAGACAAGAAATTCGGTCGTTCAAATGTTAGATCGCGCTATCCACTGGATAAATCACTCTCCAGCAACCTTTTAAAAAGCTGAAGCCTGGTATATATGTTACAGGTCAAAATTAAATTCAGGTTAAAATTTTTTAACTTAGGTTGATTTTCAATTCCCTTTGTCTCAGCCCTAATTCATGAATCATTAGGGCTAGGAGACTAAAGAAACATAGAATCAACCTAGGCTAAAAATTGAAAATTTTGAATTTAATTTTCACCTGTAAGATATACATGAACGGTTTTAAAGCCTTGAACTGGAAGAAATGCTACCTGATCGGGCACTTAACAAAAAAAAAAGTGATAGAGAGAGAGATTAAAAAAAGAATGTTCCGGTCGTTTACATTTAAGTTACATTGCTGTATTAATTGTCAAATCTTACCTGTAGAAGACATTTAATTCTATCACAAGGAACAATCAGAATTGCTCCACAGGCCCCAGAGAACATTCCAGCAGTAAAGTTCTGGAAATTTCTAGTTTTTCAGAAAGATGTAACAGTCACTACTCATATATGCATCAAGCTCGGGAAAAACCTTCTATTTCTGCCTTAAAAATGGGAACTATCAAAACATATACGATATACTGGTACTCTTAAAATGTATTTCGTAAGGTATACTCTCTATCCTCTGTATGACCTTCAATGCATGGTATTAAATATTCTGAACAATACAGTGGAATACCAGACTTGTTCCCAATTGCCACTTATTTATTCCCGCAAAGGAATATGGCAAGGCAATTTGATGGGCACAAAAGTGCCCGTTAAAGAGGGTGAAAAAGCTCCGCATTTTTCTTCCTTCCTTCCCTTGATGCACCGCAATCTCACTAAATCCTTCCCATTAATCACAGTGCATACACAGGAGCGACTGAATACGAGTCTGGTGCAATACGGATTCTTTGATCCACCATCCAACACCCAAACACCTCAACATCAAGAACATGGACTGTAGCTAACATTTTGTCCACCTTGTTTTTGATACACCTTTCCTTTTTATATCCTAATGAGACACTCTTGCTAATATAGATTCCATAAATGCACCCACAAAAATCTTAATAAAATCAGACTGCCATAATTATTGCATGGTAATTAATGTACACAAAACCACTCACGTGGGAATTCCATGAGGGTCCGACATTTGCCACTTCCTACCCATGGTAACTGCCCAGAACTGTACAGCACAGATAGGGGTGGAGAAGGCAACTGGAGTTAGAAGACCCTTGAATAATCCTGATACACCCTGAACACAGGAAAATACTCTAACTACATGTATATTTACATAAAAAATGCTTCCTTAGACTTGCAGGTGCGGATCCATACCGGTTTCCACCATTTCCCAGAAATTGGTCAGATTTTTCATAGGAAATATACTTTTAGTAAATAACTAAACTTTCGAAGTGGAAATCTGGAAAATGGTTTGGATAATCAGTACATATCTTGTCCGAATGACTTATAAACCCAGGAAAGGGGACTTTGGGGAGTTAAAATCTGAAAAAAACTCCCCAGGGGAACATGCCCCCAGATCAGACCCCCCTGTAACTTGAAGAAACTTACACTTCAGGCACTCGTTTAGGAAATCAGTCAGTATTTATTCTACACATATATGTAGATCCGCGTCTGGACTTGTGTGTTTTGATCTTCACAAACTACTTATTATACCCATTAAAGCCATACAGTGCTCGCACATGGTGTCTGAGCACTGGTATGAAATGGTGTTGTTTTCGTGCATACCCAATACATAACTGTGTAGCACACACTTGCTACATTTTGTCATGCTGGGCCCCATTTTGAAAGGTAACAGAAGCAGGAAGCTTATATATGGGTATACAAATGAGTGGATTGCCTCAGGACAGAAATGAGTGCACAAGGAACACCTGCACCACACCCAAATTCTAGTGTGGATTCTTAAAAGAAAGGTGTTTTCACATTATTATTAAGTACTGTGTAGTGACAGGCTGTTTGCCTGGGCACCAAGTGTGAAAGAACAACCTCATACAGTCCGAGTCAGTCTTGGTCAAGAGAAAAAGACTTGACATGACAAAATCAATATAAAGACATTTAAACGTTTAATCATATAATTCCAGTTGTTCTTAAATCTTATTGGCTTCTAAGAATGCTGCCATATTTACTACAAAAACAACAGAGCTGGATGTGTTATTGAGCAAGCTATTTTGAACACGCAAAAAAGTCAGTCTGGAACAATCAGAATTGCTCCACAGGCCCCAGAGAACATTCCAGCAGTAAAGTTCTGGAAATTTCTAGTTTTTCAGAAAGATGTAACAGTCACTACTCATATATGCATCAAGCTCGGGAAAAACCTTCTATTCCTGCCTTAAAAATGGGAACTATCAAAACATATACGATATACTGGTACTCTTAAAATGTATTTCGTAAGGTATGCTCTCTATCCTCTGTATGACCTTCAATGCATGGTATTAAATATTCTGAACAATACAGTGGAATACCAGACTTGTTCCCAATTGCCACTTATTTATTCTCGCAAAGGAATATGGCAAGGCAATTTGATGGGCACAAAAGTGCCCGTTACAGGGGTGAAAAAGCTCCGCATTTTTCTTCCTTCCTTCCCTTGATGCACCGCAATCTCACTAAATCCTTCCCATTAATCACAGTGCATACACAGGAGCGACTGAATACGAGTCTGGTGCAATACAGATTCTTTAATCCACCATCCAACACCCAAACACCTCAACATCAAGAACATGGACTGTAGCTAACATTTTACAACCACTAGCTTTTTGGTGTCTGGATATTGACAATGAGGTTGGATAACAAACTTGTCCACCTTATTTTTGATACACCTTTCCTTTTTATATCCTAATGAGACACTCTTGCTAATATAGATTCCATACATGCACCCACAAAAATCTTAATAAAATAAGACTGCCATAATTATGGAACAAATTATGGTATATTCAATATCAGATTTCAAGGTCCATCAGTATGGAATTCCATTGACGAAGATATCAAATTATCTTCATTGTCTTTGTTTAAAAAGAAAATGAAACAGCACTTTATCAAAGATAACTAGACATCTGTACGTTGTCTGGGTAACTTTAAAATGGAAATAATACTGTTTTGCAATGTACGAATTTTTAGTCTCTCTATATACTGGTAGTTTACTTAACTATTTGTGTGTGTTTCTCTGTTTTCTTTGTTCTTGTGTCCCTGACCTAAACATTTAAACATCTTTTCTTTTAACTGGCTGCCTGGCATTTTTAA